CCTGGAAATTATTTTTCAATAGCACATATATAGATGTGATTTTTACTTTTTTAAATTTAATGACTAATATTAAGTTTTTGCAACTGTTTTAACTTTTAAAATTATAATTTAATTACTGTATGGACATGACTAGAAAATTATATGCTTAGAATAAAAAGCAAGCCTCCTTTCTCCAGGAGCAACCACATTTCAGCTTAACTTTAGGGCTTCAGGTGGTGAAATCCAGACCTCTAATGCTATGTTTATTTTTCCTTTTTTTTTTTTTTTTTTAATCAATTTTGGACAACATTTACTGACTTTTGCTCTGCAAAATGCAGACTTAAGTCACTTAGCCAAAGCCACTTCCTTGTCTCCTCATTATATGCTTTTAGGACTATTCACAGTTCAACCCTTAGCAACTTTGTAACTTCAAGCCTCCTATTTACAACTTTATTGTTTTTTCAACAACTACAGGAAAGCTCTTAACACCCTATTTTTAAGTATGATGTGAATTACATCTCCATTCTTTCTTTCATCTCTTTTCCTAATTTTTAGATCTTTCATAGTGTGAAGTTTATTCTTCTAGGTTATCATGGTTGGAAACATTTTGTTGTTTCTATAATCACAGAATAGATGAAATATTTATTAAGTATTCTGTAATTAGTTCATGGGCTGATTCTACAAGCCAAACATGAGTTTTATTATTTGTTATTTATGTCATTATTATGACCATGTTCATGTTGTTCTTCTGGAGCTCAGTGGTGGACTCTGATATATTCCTTTTCTCTAAAAGTCCAAGGTCATATCCGTGTCATTCAAAAGTGAGAATTACTACAGTTAAGTTCAAATAAATTTTCTTTTTACGTATGTACTTCAGTAATTGCCTTCACTATACCCACCTTTTCTTAGAGGATCTCACCCAATATTTCTGTATCAATTCCTCTTCTGAGACCTCCTTCCTGCAGATGTTTGTTCTGGACTAATCTGTCTCCAGATCTAGTGCACAGTTGTCCTTCTTGGGCAAGAAGTTACTGTTTTCCTGATCTCATGCCTTGCCCTGTCTTGGCTTACTGTTTATTTTGTTACAGTATATCCTCAGGTAACTTCTTAAGAAAAAGTACACTGTAGGTAAACTTTTGGAAAGTTTTCAGGTGAGACCAGATCCTTACTCTATTTTCCTCTGATTTTTTTGTCCTTGAATAAACTGATTATTGTCTTCCAGCATCCAGTATCACTAAGCCCAATGCCAGTCTAATTCCCATCTGTTTGCACGTGACCAATTCCCATTCTTTCTCTGAAAAAGTTCCAATGTCTTCTCTATTATTAATCTAAAATTTCAGTAATTTTTTTAAGAGTAAATCTTTTTTCATTCATTAGGGCATGACCTTTTTATAAAAATTTTTTAAGGTTTATTTTTAAGAAAGAGACAGAGCATGTGGTGGGGAGGGACAGAGAGAAAGAGAGAGAGAGAGACACCCAGAATCTGAAGCAGGCTCCAGGCTCCAAGGTGTCAGCACAGAGCCCGACGCGGGGCTCGAACCCACAAACATAGGTATCATGACCAAAGCCAAAGCCAGATGTTTAACTGACTGAGCCACCCAGGCGCGCCCCTATGGCATGACCTTTTAATCTGAACAAAGGTTTCCCCCACTATCTCAGATTACTACAGAATTCCTATGAAAACTTTCCAAAGCCAAAATGGTAGAAAGTAAAGAAGCAATTACTATTAATGTATATGGAAATTTCTAAGCATTTCCAGACCCCAAAAAATAATCTCTCAGGTTTTTCTGATCCCTTAGGGCACATCTTGCTAACAGATGCTCAAAATAAATCCAGATAAAGCACGGATGCTCTTAGACATAGTTCAAAGCTATGGCAGCTTGATGGTAAGATGCCAAGTGTGGTTCCCAGGGAACCATATGGTAGTATGAACTCCCAGGGAGTTTGGTGATGCCATTCTCACTTCTAGGGGTAACACCAACTTTTGAAGGGCAGAGGATACCCTGTTTTTAGGTTGGTAACTAGGGAAATATCCTGTATAATTTCTTTGATAATTTACTTTTTCTCTCTCCTTTCATTCTAAAAACTTGGCCTTCAGATGTAGGAGCTTCTGGGTTGATTCTACATGCATCCGTATTTTTTCTGTATTGTCTATCTTTTTTATTTGAGACCAATGTTTATCTTCCAACCTATTTTTTAAAATGTGCTATTTTTAATTGCCAGTAGCTCTTTTGTGTTTTCCTTTTACAGTGAACAGTTTACAGTATGCAAAACTCTACAGATACTAGGATCTCTTCTCTCTGTATTATCTCTCTTCTTATGGGGTCTGTTTTCTCTGCACTTTTAGTCATTCTTGTTGTAAGCTTTTTGAAAACGCGTGCTTACCTTTGCTTATCCATTCATTTTTAAAGATCTGAACAATAAATCTACTTGGAAACTGTACTTAGGCAGGGCTTGTCACTCTATTCCCTAGTGAGTAAGGTAGGAGACTACCAATGTCAGAACGCAAGAGCCTTCATTCTGGAGCTCCAATGCCTACATTAGTTGCCCTAATCCTTTTCAAGTATTTAACACAGATTTGTAGATTTTTTAAAACTGCCTCCTGGGGTCCTGGATCTAGGGATGAAGACAGGATCAACTGCTCTTCAGGCATGCTTTCAGTGGTGGCCTGTTTTCAGGGCCCTATATCACCAATACCCTCACAGGAACCGTTTCTGAGTCCTTTCTCTTCTTCAAAGCAAAGCAGCTCCCTTCTTAGCACTTGCCTCCTCTGCCTGGACACTAATGCATCTTATCTTATCCTACATCTTTAATTACCACTCTCCATCACCTTCTGCCTTTTAGAAATTGGTTGAAGTTTCTTCTCCACTGTCTCTTATACCATTCTCTCTGCTTTGGGCTTTTTTCCACCCGTGTGTTTCTCCTTTAGTATCATTTTAATTAGATCTTAGATAAGAAAGAAGATGAAAACATTTATTAGTCCATCATATTTAAGCCAGAGTTACTTTTGTATTTTACCTAATTTATCTACTTCTATTTTGTTTAATAAGAATTCATTATTCATGCCAAAGGGGGCAAATATGTTCTGTGGTGTTTTTCAGGAGATGGGGTATCTTCCAATTTCAATTCACTTGAGATTTTCATGCACTTATCATCCATGAACTTAGAAATATTTACATAGGACATCATTAAAGATCATATTACTTTCATTTACTGTGCTTTCAGAGAACATACTCAACAAGATTCATTCAGAATACATTTGTTTTTGTCTAGTTCAAACTAATACCACTTACCCATATACTGTTCCTATGTTTACATCGAGTTGATACAGTCTAAACAGGTTTAACCCAACAATTTGCTATTCAATATAGATAATGTCATAAAATCTCTTTAATTATCTGCCTAGTTTATCAGGTATAAGGAAACCAAATTCATTTATATAAAGTATATAAAAATGCCATCATATCTAATTTCTTTCACAAAAGGAGAAAAAAATGTATTCCATTCAGGTTTCATGAAGTGTTAGAGATTATTAAATTTGCACTTATCACTGAAATAATACAAAATATAATGTTATCACTCATCATCATCCTACCTGAACAGCTTAGTATTCTGCCAGTTACTAATTATTCTTACCAGAAGCATATATAGAGAAAAAAAGAGTCAAAATAAACTCCAAGCTAGAGAGTTAGTTATGTCCTTGATTTGCTTTAGGAATTTTTTTTTTCCTTGAAGTTTGTTTATTTTTGAGGGAGAAAGAGAGAGCCGGGGAGGGGCAGAGAAAGAGAATCCCAGACAGGTCCCACACTGTCAGCACAGAGCCCAACAAGGGGCTGGATCTCATCAATTGTGAGATCAGGACCTGAGCAGAGATCAAGAGTCAATCATTAACTGACTGAGCCACCTAGGGGCCCCAGGAATCTGTTATCTTCCAAATACATGGGAATAGGAACTAACTAGAAATTTATAAATTCCAAGGATAGGCAGAGAAGGGTGGAAGAAACACTGAACAAACAGAACAACAAAGAAAAAGTAGGTAAAAAAAACATAAAGGGGGGAAAAGGGGGTGTAAATGGATAGGATATTCTTTTAGACTAGAGGTCAATCAACATTGATAGGCATTCATACTGCCCTTCACAATGTGTAAAGGTCACTTTTAATTTTTGCTATTTAAAGTCTTTTAAAATGCCTGGGTTTCTGTTTGGTTTATGTTTTGGCATTTATGAAGTCTGAAGCTTTCCTAAAATCTTACACTTAGGGTGATAAAAATATAATTTTTCAAGAAAGTCATTAATTTTTCATGTGCATTACATTGATACTCTATCTTTCACTGCATGTGCCTACAGGGTCTGGAGGGCTTGAGTTTTTTGTGATTTTGTGTTTGTTTGCACCTTCAATGGCTGCTGTATCAGGCCCTGCCATCTGCACAAGGCATACCCTTCAAAACTCTACCTCTTTCAGGTAGACTGAATTTTTATTGTATATTCTATACATCTATCTTTCAAAGGAGCTGCTCATTCACCAACACAAACTTTAAATCAGCTTACAGAGTTCTTTCTGGCCTGTATAAATTGTCCAAAATCTCAAGGCATGGGGTGGAGGAGGGATAGGAGAGCAGGTGATCAGGTAAACAGGCCCGTGGTAAATTTGTTTATTTTTTCTGACTTCTTTATTAAGATGAAGCAGCTGCTAAAGTGGTATAAAGACAATGGCTTTCCTCACTATTTCTTTCCAGATTGTACAAATCATTTCCCATTTTAAAACACCCATTCTTGAGATTTAGAGCCCTGAAAAAGCCAAGTACTCATGGTTCAAACTATAGTTAAATGCACAGTACCCTACATGAATGATCATTAATTCAGAATATGTGATATTAATCTCATGGTTTTGCTTTGTTTCAGGATCCCTATCTTACTCTTGAAAATCGTATGAGTGTGGTGGGAGTTTGACTGTGGTTTAAGTATGTGTGTTGCAATCATTGTTCATGTTCACCCAACATGTTTATGTTTTTCTAATTTCAGCATGTGGCAAACTGATGAAAATCACAGGCCCAATTACAGTCAAGACATCTGGAACCCGATTTGGTGCTTGGATGACAGATCCTTTAGCATCTGAAAAAAATAACCGAGTATGTTGCTTCCACAAATGTCTTTGCTTAGGATTATGTTTTATTTGCACTTTATATCGATTGCACTATTTGTTTTCTTCAGGAATATTAGTTTCAACTTGAAAAGTGTTACACTGTTTGCAAGTATTCTTAGTTTGATAACAGTAGCGTATCTACAGCAACCTTATTTTGGTAAAATGTTCCATCTTACAATTCACAAGTCAGTCTAATTGCTCTAATAGTCTGTTTTATGCTAGGAAAAAAATGCTTATTACAAGTATACAAAATTTTCTATATACTCCTTCTAAAACCTGTTCCTTAGCGTAAGAAAAAAAATAACACTAAATGACAAACTCAAGAGCTAACCAATTTGCTAAACAAGGTGAAGCATCTCTGGATTCTAAAGGTAATTTTAAAGTCAATAGCACTGAAACTTTTGGGGTGCATTTTCATAAGCTCACAATGCCTGTATTAGGCAAATCAACATACTGGAAACCTACCACAGCTCTACTTACAGTCTATTACAGAATTCAGTTTACATTAACATTCTCAAGGGTTACATCCAAATGAGATTAGTAGCTAAATTAGTAAAATAGTTTCACTAAAGAGTAGTTGTACTTATAAGGCGATCCAGTGAACAAGCATTACTAGAAGTTTCTATGGTATCAATAAAGGATAAATAAATTAAATGTGTAAAACTAGACCATATATTTTTCAGGGCAAAAGATGGAATAAATTTGCTGCAGGTGGTATTTTTTGCAGTTATCACATTGCACGGATTGTAAAACTGAACAAAGTGATGTGATTTGCATTGACACGTGTTTAGTTCACTCAGTCATATGCACTGAATGGTCAAATAAATAAAAAGGGCAAAAAGAAAATCAACTTCAAAGCAGTAAAGTCAGTTGTTTACTTTCCACATGGAAAATGCCACTATTTTTGCCTGTAGTACTATCACATTGTAAGAGGTCACCAGTAAGATGATGTGGTTTCCAGATCCTGAGAACAGGGATATTAATATATGTTGACTCTGTCTTTATTTTGGAATTCTCAGAAAATTACAGAGTTTAGTCACTCCTTTTATTTTTTCCCCCCTTTTCCTCAGGTCTGGTACATGGACAGTTATACTAACAATAAAATTGTTCGTGAGTACAAATCAATTGCAGACTTTGTCAGTGGGGCTGAATCAAGGACATACAACCTCCCTTTCAAATGGGCGGGAACTAACCATGTTGTCTACAACGGCTCACTCTATTTTAACAAGTATCAGAGTAACATCATCATCAAATACAGCTTTGATATGGGGAGAGTGCTTGCCCAACGAAGTCTGGAGTATGCTGGTTTTCACAATGTTTACCCCTATACATGGGGTGGATTCTCTGATATCGACCTAATGGCTGATGAAATTGGGTTGTGGGCTGTGTATGCAACTAACCAGAATGCAGGCAATATTGTCATCAGTCAACTTAACCAAGATACCCTGGAGGTGATGAAGAGCTGGAGCACTGGCTATCCTAAAAGAAGTGCAGGGGAATCTTTTATGATTTGTGGGACACTATATGTCACCAACTCCCACTTAACTGGAGCCAAGGTGTATTACTCATATTCCACCAAAACCTCTACATATGAGTACACGGACATTCCTTTTCATAACCAATACTTTCACATATCCATGCTTGACTACAATGCAAGAGATAGAGCTCTTTATGCCTGGAACAACGGTCACCAGGTCCTGTTCAATGTCACACTTTTCCACATCATTAAGACTGAGGATGACACATAAGCAAATGTAATTTGTTTTCATTTATCTAAACAGTGTCATTTGTGATAAACTCTATAGAATCCCTTCTGTTGTTCCTTTATTAGAACTTCTCATCATTTCTCCAAAGCATTTTTTTATTATCAAGTTGGTTTTTCAAAAATACAGCTGAGCCTGTCTAAATCAGCCTGTTGGAAACACATCTTAACTCCTAAATTTACAGGGCCTATCATGTCCTTGTCATGAAAAGCACTAAAAAGAGTTTAAATGGCTAAAGTCATAGTTTTGCAAAAGATTAATGATCTGCCTTATATTAGAGTCAGAGACTAATGATGGCTTAAATGCATGAATGTTTTTTTTTTTTAATCGTCATTTTTTACTGTCTTTTGCTCTACATCAGGAAATATTTTGGTAGGAATTAGGGGAAAAAAAGCACTTTCCTCCCATTTCTAAAAAAGATTTAAGGATTTTATTTATATGGAAAAATTATAGTACTCATTTTGCTGTTCTAGAATTCTCTGATGCGGTGCTGTACAGTCATTTTTAAATCTCTTGCTAACATTTTATCGGCAATATGTATTTCTACCATTGCAACCACCATTGTGCAATTGTATCTCTTCACTTCTGTGAAAGTAAGTAATATTTTTTATAAAATACACTGAAGTTTAATCTCAGTAATTATTATGGGCCAATTTTCAAGTGTGGTCAAGAAGGAAACTTATCTTCAACTTAACCCTTTATTTAAAACTATAAACCAGAAGAAAAAAAAAATCAAACTAAATCCCTTACGTAGAATATTTATATTACCCCAGGTTTATCAGACCACTAACACTGAATGCTAAAACTGATTCCGTAAGGATGAGTTACTCTGTTCACTTCACTGAAAGCAACCCTTATTGTCGCTCGCAAAAAATGCAACAGAGTCAGATAATTTGGATTTGACTGGATTTTACTCATTTATTATTCAACTAAACAAATTTTGTTCTTCCTAATATATAGTGTTGTAACTTAAGTTTTTACACACAACTTGCAACTTGTGTCAGGAATCTGAAAGTACATGAAGCACATAAAAAAGACTCTTAGAAACTTCCTGTGATGTCATCTAGATTTACATTATGAGCTGTAGAGGGTTACTGGCAATATCAGTGTGAAAAAAAATAGCAAGACTTGGAAGTTGTCTGTGCGGTTTAAATGTACAAAAAAAACAATTCAGAAAACAAGATGAGAAAGCAACCCTTTGTTACCCTGATTCGCTATGTGTGCAAAATAATGTAACCAAAAAAGAAAGCTTTAGTAATATTTTATGTTAATAACTCCAAAAACATAATCAGTATTTATCACACATTTCACTGAGTTTGGACGTACTTTCCATATATTAAGAATACTTACCTAAGTCAGTTTTGCAGAAACTAGTGTGGGTTGGTTTCATACCTTAAAAAGTATATTCTATAACAAATAATGTATAACTTAAATTGTGGTAAATGTTTAGTTTGACACGTACATACTAACAACTTCCTTTTAAAGTAAGGATATAATAATTCAGATAAAGCATTGTGTAAAAAAAAAATGCTAACACTTAAGAGTAATTCATTTCAAATGTCACAAGTAAAACATACTTCTCAAATATCTCACTGTCAAAGTCATAGGATTAAATAACTCACTCTCGAGACTGTGAAAGTTTAGCAAAGATTTCTTTTCCTTTTTGCCTACAAAAAGTTAGCATGACTTAGTGACCACTCGGGTCCTTTTGCAAGGTTGTCTTCTCTTTCAAAATGTTTATATGAGTTCTCCTCTGTTTTTGAGAGTTAGAAAATTTAGGGGATTCACTTGCCATTGTATACACATCACAAATATAATCAGCCAGTACTTTGTATATCAAGAGTTTGTATGAAGAAAGTCAATTTCAAAAATGAATGAATTTTTAAGGAGATGGCCTCTGATGGATATCTGGGTCTTCATTACTTGTTTTTGTTTTTTTTTAATGATGTAATATAGTATCACACACATTTGAAACCTGGATGATCACAGCTTTTTTGTGAGATGTGCAGCTTGTAAAGCACTCTATTGTTTTCTATGTAAGGTTTCATCACCATATCCAATTTACAGTGTATGTGCTGCTAGGGCAAGCACAGATTTTATTATTGTCATAGAGTTTAAAATGTGATTTGCATTAAACATTTACAGTTCAAAAGCATTTTTCTTAATAAATTATCAGTTTTGTGCCTGAAATAAGAACTTACTCTAATCACTTTTTTTTAATCTCAAATTTTATGAGGGAAATAATATTTTTAAATCACCTACATAATCCAATCAGTAAAAAAATCCGAGCTCAGAAGTCTTAATCCTAAATGAACTGTGCAACTGGTATTTTCTGAATTAATCAGATCATTAACAAACTGCCATGTCATTCAAGTAACAACAGAATCATGGTCTGATTGAGTTTATATGACATCTGGATTTGTGGCACTTGAATCACAACACTTATTATCTAAATTTACATCTATTAGTTCATAAAATGATAGTGTTTTAGTCTATTATCAATATGTAGGATAAAAGAAAATAATGGTAGATGCCTAAATATAACATTATAATTGGATAAGATTTACCGTAAACTCATAATCTTTGGATTTTATCACCATACTCAGTCATTTCATCTTTTGCAATCCATAGTACTCCTTCTAATGCAACACTGTCTTCAGAAATAATTTATTCCTAAGAAAATGGTCTTTATACCGGAAAATATCTACCAAACTTACAAGTATAAATTTTTCCAACAGAAGAATTATTTTTTAATGTAACTATATAAAGTTTTTCTTATGTTCTGCTAAAAATAAAAGGTATTTTCCTACTAAGGTAAGTGTTACATATTATAATCCTTTATTTTCCTTTTTTCCCCCAAAAACAAATTAAAAAGAAAAATCCTACTGGTCTCCCTACCACTCAGGATTACCAAATCATTTCTGCAAATGCTAAATTTGAATGTAATTGATAGCAAAATTTAAAGTATCCCTTTGAGTTAGAATCAATATGAAAGATATAGACATTTCAGAGTTTCTAAAAGCTATGCCTTCTAAAAATATTTATCAGATACTTTTGTAAACAGAATTTTAAAATGGCATCTTGCTGACTTGACAAGGAAGGTATGTACACCTTGAGTTCCTAAGGCACTATAAAACAATGGACATTTACAGATAGTTACTTTGCCGTCTCCATCACCACATGGTAAGTCGACCACAAGAAGAACTACTATAAAGTGGTCTACCTCTCACTATAGGCAGGGAGCATTAAATTAAAATTTAGCTGTTATAGGATGACACCAAGCCTTAATCTCTGACTGCTCATAGCTAGAAATAGTCATTTCTCAAAAGGCTCAGAGGCACTAAATATCACTCAATTCAGTAGGCTGTATCCATACTGAAATTAAGATCATGGAACGGTTTCTGGTTCTACAATTAAGCAAGCTCAGCATAAATAAATCTCTTAACTAAAATTTTTTCATAATGAGTGACTCTCCAGAGAAGGTCTGGGGGCTTTATAAAATATATTCTTTTGAATTGAGCTTACACTGGAAAAAATACAATGAAAACATTAGCTTATGGGAGAAAAAACCAACTTCAAATTCTTTTAGCTATTTTTCTATAAAATAATGAATTCAACTGATGACAGTCTATTGAATAGAAAATTGTTCTACCCTTTAACCAATCAGAAAGAAAGCCTCCCAAAATGACTTTACCAAGCTGATTTATCTGATTCCCATCTTAAAATTATGTTATACAGTTTATCCCTTTGGGTTGAACAATTCCATTACGCTTAGAGGAATTTTAATCCTGTTTAGAGCCTGCTTTGTCTCCAAAATGTCAAACCAGATGGCAGAAAACTTATCCCCTTTGAAGCTCAGTTTATTGATTGCCATATAAGCTTTACAAGTATAAATTATTATTAAACACAACTTGGAAACGATATAACGACATAGAATTGTACCTTGCCAAAAGTACACAGTACCTTTCATAACTACAACCATCTTAAAACATTAATCCTAGTTACAGATGTGAAACAGCATGGTAAATGTGGAGAAGTTATCAGGAATACCTTAGTGCTGCAAGACGTTTCTTGATAAACCATACACACAAATGCAGTTCAGTACTAATTTGCATCCCTACCAGTGCCATAGTCTGCCTAGAAGAGCTTGCACCCATTTTCTTAAAGAAAATAAACTAAAATATTGCCATAATATATCATTCCCTACTGCAGCCAGACCTGGAAGTATCACATTATCAGCAGACATTTCCAAAAAATGAGTATTTATGACAAAGGTCTTGAAGACATCTCAAGAAACAGACTGACTAAAAGAAACATTAGCCATTTTAAATTTAAGCATGTCAGAGAAATTCATCATATTGAGCTTGGTAAGACACACCCAGCTAAGCTCTTTGTATCACTCTTTTTTTTTTTTTTTTAAGGTTATTTTCAGAGACAGAGACAGAGCGAGACAGAATGTGAGCGGGGGAGGGGCAGAGAGAGAGGGACACACAGAATCTCAAGCAGGCTCCAGGCTCTGAGCTGTCAGCACAGAGCCCGACGGTGGGCCCAAACTCACAGATGGCGAGATCATGACCTGAGCCAAAGTCGGATGCCCAACTGACTGAGCCACCCAGGTGCCCCTGTATCACTCTTAACTTCACATGAATTCATATATATTACCAATATATAGTGTTATGGGCTTTCCAACTAGTTAATACTGCATTATTCGTTTATTTGAAAAATAATTCCTGAACAAAACTGTGTGCTAGACAATACAGTTGTCAACAAAGTCTTCATGTGCTTAAATTTTAGTTAGAACAGGCTGCAATGAAAAATAAGTTCTGATTGCACTAGTTGTTGTGAAGGAAATAAATACTTCAAGTCATAAAAGTGAGTGGATGTTTACTAGGGCAGAGGTGGGTAGGAAGTGATGTAATGAGGAATAGTGAAGAGAGATCTCTCTTAGAAGCAGCCTACCATGGTAAATTCAGTCAAAGAATGGA